GGTCGTGTATTCTGTAACGAATCATCCACTGAAGGCGAGCGTAGTGAAGAACCCAAGTGCAGTTTATTTACAGTGATCAAAACATCCAAACATAATCCAAACAGACGAAGACTAGAGACACAGACTTGACTTGACGAGGCATGAACATATTTGACTTGACATGAACAGACTTGACTTGACTTGACGAGGCATGAACAGACTAGACTCACCAACAGCGGGTTACAACATCAAATACACGACAAGGGCACAATGGGAACATGATGGCTAGTTATAGCAGACAAGGAGGGTCACATGACATGAACAAACCAATGGGAAACAAGACACATGACTAAGACAACCAATCAGAACATGACACAATGAACAGAGGAGCCAATAGCATGAAGACATGAGGGCAAGGGAAGCATGACATAAACAGCATGAAACAATACAAAATAAAAGACGTGAAAACATGAACATTAAACAAAACCCAAACACAAAACTCCACATTACAATATTTTAATATTGTCTAATGTTTTTTTAATAAAACGCAGTAGCAATACAATGAATCATGCTTCAAGTGAATTAAGGATTATTTCTTTTTTTTTTCTCAAAAAAATATTTTTTTACTCAATGTCCAATGCTAATAAGCCTATAACTATTTATGTTATGGCTTATAAGCAATAAATTGTTGATATATAAAATTCTATACTATATTGTCTAAACAACAACAAAATATTTTTAAATGCTATTTGTGAATTTAGGCATCAAAATATTATAACGTGCAATATGAGAAATGTATATTCATGTATTATTATGGATTATAGACTGTTCAATTCTTAATGTTTTTAAACACTGATTAACTTGAAGTGAGCAACACATGATTATTGCATGCACAATTAAAGATCTAAAATTGGCCGAAATATTCAGTATGCTATAGTATAAGATATGATACAATGGTATAGGAGTCTGATTAATTAAAAAGTCTGTAATCTCGATCGATAACCGTTGGTACCTATATATGGTGGGTTCCTAAATAATTACACATTTACGTTTTAAGTGCACATAGGTTTCAGCAAAACCCTCCATTCCTGTTCGGCGCCATTAATCATGTAACGCTTTATTGAGGTTCTGTTTCGCTTTCTTCCTTTCTCTGAATTTTAGTTGTTTTTTTTCAACCCTCCTTTTCACAGCCAACAGAAGAGAAGAAAGAGAATGAGTGAGAGTGGAAAACGAGAGAGGGAGGGAGAGAGAGAGAGAGAGAAAAAGAGTGAGGTGTGAGCGAGGCAGCGTCTGTTGACTGTGAAGGTCACACTGGATCAGAGAACTTCCTCGGGGCAGAAAATAAATGAACTCCCCCACCCACTCCCGCACGGAGAAAGACAGACAGAGAGTGAGTGCGAGAGAAGAAAAAAATAACAAAAAAAAAACAAAGAGGAAGAAAATGTGATTTCCAGAGCGTGAGACTCAGAGAACTCTGCATGACGATGATTGACAGCCAAACTATATCGAGGGTAGCATTGGCGGGCGCACGTTCGGACCGGCGGACGGCAGCACCAGCCCCTGTGCCCATCACGCTTCCGTCTGATGCCCAAATTAACCTTCTCTGCAAAGTGAAGGAGGCCCAAAGCAGCCTAATCAGGGCCTGATTATGGCAGCAGCGACTGGTTAAAGGGTCAGGGTAATTGTGCCATCAGAGGCCTGATTGTTTTCAATCAGTAAGGCGGCCGGAGTGACAGCTGGGGGATTGAGGCGCTGATGGAGCCGCGGTGGGCCTAATCAGAGAGAGGCTGGGTGGGGGGAGGGGGTGGTGGGGATGCCTGATTGGTGCAAATGAATAGTCACACCACAGCCACCCCCCTACCGACTACAGCCTCCACCCGTGTGTACATACACACACACACACGCTCAAATTGTCCACACACCTTTTTTTCTCACTCTTACACCATAAATTAAACAGGTGGAGTTTGTTTGTGAATATGACCTTAAGCATTCAGATTTACTTAACACATTTGGCCATTATAGAGAATGTCACAGGGTCCAAAATTCTGAGACTTTCTTTTATGATTCAATACAATTTGTTTCACTATTAAATTATACATTATTATATATTATTAAATTATAATATATTACAAATTATAGTGAAAACCTGAACTAAAAATGTTGCATTAATGGACCCCTCTCACATTCCCAGGGTGCAGTGGAAGTCGTAATAGTTGGGTAAACTTCTACAGTGGTGAACGGAAACTACAACAAATATCATTTTGCATTCCCCAAAATAAATTAAACACAATAGCATTTCTATGACTTTGCAAAAGAGGAAAAAATATCTAGACTGATTACAGTGGCTACAAAGCAGGCGTTTTAGTAGAAACACCCATGCAGCAGCATTATCTAGTGTTCTGTAATTTAACACCAAGGTAATACAATACAAAGTAGAGTTTTATAACTGTATATCAAATCTTAATATAAAAAAAAACGAAATTTACGACGTTAATGACTGTGAAAAATGAGCTCCACAAGTTTGTGTAAAACCTAATGGTCACATTGTCCAGCGTGATTCAAGATGTGCCAAAGAGCATCTTGAGCTTCAGTGGATGAACATCTCACTGTCTGTACAAAGAGGGTCACATTAGTGAACTAGAAATTATGTAGAAATTTAAATATTTCATAACTGTTCTTTGTTGTAAAGTTTTCAAAATCTGGAAAAAAAAAAAACAAGGGACGTCTCAGAACTTTGAACCCCATGCTGATATTTTGCATTAAAGCTGCTTAAGCAGTTCAGAGATGTTTTGAAGAGTTGAATCTGCGGCCCACACACCTGCCATATCTCCTCTTCACTGAGGGAGGTGAGGCGGTCGCTTTTTAGCACTTCCCTGAGGAGCCGATAAGGTAGGAGCAGCACTTCCTCTTGTCTGTTCCTCTGCAGCTCAGAGAGGTGATCCACCAGAAAGCCCACCACTGCTTCCTCTAGGGCCGGCAAGTGGAAGAGGTCTGCCAGCCTGTATAGGTCCAGGTAGTTAAAACTGTTCAGCTCCTTCAGGCACAGATATAAATACAGACAGATTCACAGTCAAAAGGGGTGTTTTATTCATGCTAAAGTCTATGAACACAAACTAGTTGACCATTACAGTCTAAAATGAAATCTTACATGCCCTGACTCGAGCACACAAATGCAAATAAGATATCACCATGAATGCACACAGACAGTTGTTAAATATTGTAATACAGTAAATAATACAGTTAAAATAAATGATTGCTGGAAGCTTAAGAGAGCTGAATTTCATCAAAGTCCACAATATCCATAACCGTAGCCTTGAAAATTCTAAGTAAAAGAAAGAACAACTGAGAGAGAAATCCAGTCAGGATGTTCCACAGACGCATGATTAGGAAAAATGCTTCACACAGAGACTGACTGCCATCTACTGGTTAAAATGAATAATCAGCACATTTGAAATGTAGTGATTTTCTGGGTTAATTTATGGGATTTTCTGGGCTAATTTATGGGAAAACCCTATGGAATTCAGCAGAATCAGCTCAAAATCCTTAAGAAATCATTTCTCACACAAAGGCTTCAGGAGAATATAACACAAAATCATATATAGTCTTATATACAATACTACTATTTCAATAATTCTAGTTATTTGTCTTTTTGAAGCTTGAAAGCTCCAAATGTACACATTAATTGTAATCAAACTGAAAAGAGCATGAAGGTGATGACATGAGAGTGAATGGATGATGACAGATCTTTTTTCAGAACTACTCCCCTAAGAAGTGAACAGGAAGCAGCAAAATCGTAGCACTTTTAAAAAAAAAAAATCTGACACAAACACAGTGTTGATGTAAAACAAAAATCTGATCACACAGTGAAGTTATATGTAGTACCTGCTGACCTGCCTGCATGTTTTCAGGGCAGAAATGCCTCATAAACACACCTGAATGAGATAGTGAGAACAGAGGCTGAGCAGTTCCAGCAGCTGAAGGTGGCTTCCAGCAGACAGTACATCTTGTATCACTCCTGGCTCCAGCATGATCTACAGACAAAGCACCTGAGTAAGACTATCCTAAGAAACAACAACCTTGCAAACAGGGGTCTTCAAACTTTTTCAGGCCAAGGACCACTTGGTGAAGAGAGAGATGGAGCAGTGACCTTTTGTTAAATATTGTATAAAAGCAAGCATTGCATTTTAAGCCAGCTCTATAATAATATGTATAGCAGACTACTATATTAAATGTCTTTACATACTCTATGATGCTTAGATTGCAAAGCCATTAAAATATTCATTATTAATGTACAGAGTGCATTATATGATCATAAAAACATGTCTTGTTTTAATAAAAATGATATAAGGAAACACATTTTTAAATAATAAAAAAAGAAAAATGCTTCTTCTCATAGAGGCTTAAGGACTAAATCGAAATAAGCCACAAAATATGTTTCATTCTCTGTGCCACAGATGGTTAGCTCAAATCATGCAAAAAACTGTATTTTTCAGGCTGGTGCAGCTAAAGCACATATGCATCCAGAAACAAAAAAGCAGGCGAATGGATATTTTAACTGCGAAGGATAGTGAGCGCTACAATTTATCCAATTCAGCTACATTCAAAAGTTTGGAGTCACTCAGTAAGGTTTTTTTTACATGTTATTGAGAGAAGTTTCTTATACTGGCCAAGGGTACATTTATTTGATCAAAAATACAGTAAAAACAGTCAAATTATGAAATATTATTACATCAACTTTAATGTATTTAAGAATATATTTTAAATTTAGATTTTACAATGATTATTTACAATTGTTTCATTTTTAAATGATTCTCTGATATATAGAAAGTTCAAAAGAACCCCATTTATTTGAAATAGAAATCATTTGTAACATTATAAATGTCTTTACTGTCACTTCTGATCCACTACTGACCAATATAATGCATATTAATTTATTTGAATAAATGTTGAACGTTAGTGTATATAATACTGAATCATGGGTGGCCTTATGTTATTTACCTCATAAATATGCATCTAAGAACATGAACTCACAGTTCACAAATGTATAGTGTGATAAACCCAGGATTACAATTAACCAAAATTAGATGTTCAAGTGTGTAAGCCCATTTGTGAAGCTCTAGAATAAATATGATTATTTACAAGTATTTCACTTATCTGCTCCTATTTCGAGAGTGTATTTATAATGGGGTCTTTCCAGAACCTAGAGACCTGTCTTTGCTTGAGGCGCAGTCAATTCTGTTTGTTTTGCATGTTCAGGCTCTATAATAAAAAAAGAAAAATGCTTCTTCTCATAGAGGCTTAAGGACTAAATCGAAATAAGCCACAAAATATGTTTCATTCTCTGTGCCACAGATGGTTAGCTCAAATCATGCAAAAAACTGTATTTTTCAGGCTGGTGCAGCTAAAGCACATATGCATCCAGAAACAAAAAAGCAGGCGAATGGATATTTTAACTGCGAAGGATAGTGAGCGCTACAATTTATCCAATTCAGCTACATTCAAAAGTTTGGAGTCACTCAGTAAGGTTTTTTTTACATGTTATTGAGAGAAGTTTCTTATACTGGCCAAGGGTACATTTATTTGATCAAAAATACAGTAAAAACAGTCAAATTATGAAATATTATTACATCAACTTTAATGTATTTAAGAATATATTTTAAATTTAGATTTTACAATGATTATTTACAATTGTTTCATTTTTAAATGATTCTCTGATATATAGAAAGTTCAAAAGAACCCCATTTATTTGAAATAGAAATCATTTGTAACATTATAAATGTCTTTACTGTCACTTCTGATCCACTACTGACCAATATAATGCATATTAATTTATTTGAATAAATGTTGAACGTTAGTGTATATAATACTGAATCATGGGTGGCCTTATAATATCTCTGCTAGCAATGCTATAATGTAAAAGTTGTATAGCAACAGAGAACCAATCACAAATGAAAAATGTATGTATTAATTAAATATTCATACACTGTAAATCATTTTTTAAAAATCTATTACATATAATTATAAAAGTATAATATATATGTATAATTATACTTATATTTTTAATGTATAT